ACTAATATTTTTATAATATAATAATATATTTCATACACCCATTAAATTAAACCTTCTGAACTGAACTGTATTAGTTGTAGTAAATCAGCAACCATAAAAGTATGTTAATTCCCATTGAAGAGCATCTATGAAATTCCGAGGCTTTTGTTTTTGGAATATGGCATCCTTTTCCCCCAATTTAACATTTTATAAGGTTCAAATCCTCCGGACGGAAAAAAATTTTGTCGACTGTGCAAAATGATATTCGACTGAATAATTTTCTCGTTTTGCTCTTATTTTTTATGGGCAGGAGACGCTTTTTTCCTAGTTTTGTCATCTGGGGGGTGTCGACAAGATTATTGAAATCTACACGTTTGATAAATAGCTGTACGAAATTGTCTTGCCATGTAAAAACCATTGATATGAATAAAGTCGTTTGGGTTTGTATTGGAGTGGTTATATTTCCTTAAAATATCGTTTCTGTATGCACTCATTCTGGATTCTTCGGTTTAAGAAGAATTGCAGCATTCATAGCACATGGAGGCAACGTTTCGCTCATTTTTTCGACTAGAAAGATGGGTATTGATAAAAGACTCTTTGATGTATTCAACCACAAAGCCATTTTGATGCAGAAAATGTTTTGTCATAACTGGAAAACGCAAACGCCTCTTTTCCTTTAATCAATCCGGGCTCCAGACTTCTTTCAAAATTTGAGAACAAGAACATGACGGGAATAAAAATGAGTCGTTCCAGATGAAAACGTTTGAATTGAAGGCTCCTCGGCGGCTGTAAGTGTCAGGGTGAAAATAAGGGAGACGACGTTGGAAACCTTCAGACGCGCAAATCTTAGAATAATGTGTACGACGATTATGGCAAACTGTCCCTAACTCTGATTTATCTACCAAGGCCAAGAATATTTCCGTTAAATAAGATCAACATTGGCAAGGTTTTGCAAACAATTATAGTATTACTTTCTACTAGGGCGGGTCTTGTTAACGAATGAAGTCAAATATCATTTACATTTTTGAATATCTCAAGAGCTGCTCAGAACGCATTTTAATTATAAAGGGTCTACTAAATTTCGACTAATGGGGAGAAAACACAAAATATACATGGCGTGTCACATAAAATTACCAACTTGTTGCTTACGTATCGCGGTTAACTAATCGCACGTTAACCGAAAGGGTTAAAAAATTTAAAATATTTTTTTAATCGAAAACCATATTTGAATAAAATTTAAAAATTGTATCTTAAAACAGAAAATATTTGTTCATAATTTTTATCAATTAATAATGTTAATTTTTTTACAAACTTCTTGTTGGGTATTTTGCCTCAAAAATTTTTGCCTTTAAAAAAGACAGAATTTCCTCACGTCTTCTATTACAGATTGACAAATAGTGCTCCTATTTCGCAAT